TCTTGGTGGAGGAGGAAAAGCCAGCCATTGTGTCTTTTCATAGCTAACTACTGGCCTTTTATAAACCTGCTTTTGTCTCCTGTCCCCTCTGCTGCCTACGACATCATTAAACAACGAATGTCTCCAGCATGGGGTGGGGGCTCAGAATGCCTTCCCTGCTAAGATGCTTGCTCTGTTTTTTCCCCCAGCTCTAACCTCTTGGAGAACTGGTTTGAGATCAGTTGTTCTCCTCGGAAGGTAGGACAAGAAGTAATGGGCTTAATTTGTAGCAAGGGAGATTTAGGTTCGATATTAGGAAATCTTTCTGACTCTAAGATAGTTCAGCTCTGGAACAGGCTTCCAAGGCAGGTTGTGAAATTACTTTTTTTTTAAAGAACAGGTTGGACAAACACCTGTCGGGTATAGTCTAGGGTTTACTTGGTCCTGTCTGAGCGCAGGGGGGCTGGACTTGATAACTTCTCCAGGCCTCTTCCAGCCGGACATGTCTCTGAATTGTTTATAACCACCTGTGAACTGCCAGGGTCCCAAAAAATCCGATTGCCTCGTCTTCAGCAACAAATGAACGCCTTACTCCTGGCTGTGATAGCTAAGAACAGAGCTCGGGCTTTATTCACTTTATTTATATAAAAAAAAACCCAATAACTTATTTTGTCGTTATTAATCTACATGGACTAGCATAATTCTTCAGATACAACTCTCAATCCTTACGATGGTAAATTCACACCTGCACACAAATATTCTAAATCCCATTCATAACCCTCTTCTCGCCTCTCTCCACCTAATTCCATTTCATTTAACATGCCGAGACTCAAGAGGGTCTTAGATCTCCAGCTATTAACACAGAGACCCGTTTAGAGTTAAATACGCAAGTTGTACTGCTTCAGCGGTTAGGTAAATTGGTACAATGCCCAATGCCAACAGCACAGATGCAGTTATGTCTGGATGAAGGTGCTTTAAGGTACAGTTTATTTCTGCATATTTACTACACAGATATATAATCGCCTGTGTACGGACATAACTAGATCTCTGCCAGGGGATTCTACTGCTTTCTGTATGCCAGCTTCTGAACAGATTATAATTAAAGTGGTGCAAAAATTGCATCGACAAGCCCCCAGTGTATAGTCCACAGTCTGCATTTTGCAAACATAAACAGTCACTCTGGCTTAAACACACACACGAGATAATCTAGAAACATTTCCCTCCTTCTCTCTCTTTTTTTCCCTTTGTAAATCATACAAGTCCAATCTAGCTGTCCCTGCCTCTGGAAATCATGTGTCCTGCTCCACCTACTGATTTCCCTGTAATGCGTTCTCTTCAAAGGGGACTAGATTTCTGCACCTGCTCCAACTGGTTCAGAATAAAGTGTGTCTTTGAAGCGCTCAAAGCCGTCCATGAAATGGGTCACTGTCCTGCCTAGGCCTGGATTTGTCTGCAGATTTCTCCCAGCAGAGCTCTGTCGTCTGATGCACTCGCGTTGGAAGTGCTGCTTCTCTATCTCCAGTGTGGATGGGCAGGGCTAGAAATGTGAAAGGGGCACCAGGTTAGCATTTTAAATCTGTGTTTGGTTTAGGTTGTGTGTGGTGGTTTTTTTTTTCTTTTTCTTTAATTGATTTTGTTAAACTGATGCAAACCAGTGTGTGAATGAGACCGGTTTTTAAAACTGGTTCTATCAGTTCGGCTCTCTTGTGACTGATCTAAACCAGTCTTAAAGCAGTCTAGGCACACGTATACATACATCCTGCGCTGGTTTAAAACCAGCTTAATCACACTTTCAGTTAAACTGGACCAGGCCTAAGGTCCAATTACACTGATTTCTACCACCTTGAGGAACTCGGTTACAGCCTGATGGTTCCCCCGGTACAGATACACTGCGGGTCATTGCTGCTGAGTTAAATTGCTCCCAGTCCTCATTCCCAGCAGGAAAACTCAATCCCCTGAACGATTGCAGGGAAATCAATGCAGAAGGGCTGGAAGTGAGATTCCTTGTCTAAGAACTAGAACAATATTGGTGGAGACTTAAGATAAAAAATTAGGGGTGTGTGTAGTGTGGTGGTGGTTGTTGTTTGCCACATTTTCCCCCCCATCTCTTGCCCACTCCAGGAACGCTGTTTAAAATGCCGCTTGATCCCATCTGGGCCTCAAGCCCCCAGTGTATTTTTTAACTGCGTTGGAACTACCGTGTTGCAGCCGGGTCGACCTCAAAATGGTGGCCCTTAGGGTGTGGATTGGCCCTCTAAGCAGTGAAGCCCAAGGGACAAATTAGCTCAACACAGGATCTTAGATCTGGCAGTCCAGCCCATGGGGGGGCTAATGACTTTACCAGACCAGAATCCAGCCCCGTTAGTCCTCTCAGGAGCTCTGGTTATGCTTCCCTCAGTGCCAGCGACAATGGGAGTGCCCGTGTTAACAAGTCTCTGGTGTCCTCTAGACCTGTCCTGAACCGGCTTAGACGCAGGTGGCTACTCTGGCCCTCCAGTCTTTGCTTCCCGGCTGCCAGGGGAGCTGAACCGCTGGGAGCGTGGCCTAGTGGATAGGGCACCAGACTGGGAGTCAGGAGACGTGCCGTCTGTTCCCAGCTCTGCGCTACGTGACTTGTGGGCATGTCACTTCCCTATTCTGTGCGTCTTCCCCCCCCACCACCACCACCACCCTTTGTCTCTTGCCTGGGCTCTTTGGGGCAGGGACTCTTTCGCTATGTGTCTGTGCAGCTCCCAGCCCAAGGGGGCCCTGATCATGGCTGGATATTACTGTAATAAAAGCCCAGTGTTGGGAAATCTTAGTCTAGTGTAGGCAGATTTTTTTTTTTTTTTTTTTTTTTTAATAGTACTGGGAAAACCTGAGGGGTGGAGGGGAAGTGGGTTCTTGTTTTCACAGCTGATGAACTCAGCAAGGAACTTCTCTCTTTCAAGAAAAGGGCACACCGACTTTTCAAGCGTTTGTTTTCCTTAAGTGCGTAAATGTGCGGGCAAACTACACGTAGCCCTTGTGCGCCTGGCAATTTGTCAAAGTGGCCTCCTGGGCCACCCAAGTGTGGGAACCCCTGTGGTGCAGCATGCTGACACCCCATGAGTGGGAGTATTGGGGTCTGGGAGAGGGACCCTTCTTCGGGACCTGTTGACAGTGGAGCTCAAACCAAGTCTGTGTGTAAACTCCGTTCCAGGTAAACTAATTCCATCTGCCAGCAGGACGTGGGTACGGACGTGTAGAGCCCCGCGCGGATACAAAATTTGTATCCGCCTCCGATCCGCAAACATGGTTTGCGGCTATAAAGCGGATAGCCCCAGATTTGCAGGACATGTTCTCGCCTAGATTTCTCCTCCCCCCCATCCATGCTGGCTGCCTCACATTGTTAGAAACTGGTTTTCACTGGTCCAGTCTCTAAACAGGTGGCCTAGCTGCTAATGGGAGGTAAATGGCCTCTCTTCTCTTTTTCCCCCCGCCTCTGCCACTGGACAAGCCATATTCAGCCCCAGACGAGGTGGGGGCTGGCCAATACTCAGTGTGTGAGGGTCTGAGACGCTTTGCGAAGGCGGATCAGTATTGCTGTCTGATATGCTTGACGTTACAGGGAGACTGAGGCACAGAAGTACCATGCAGCAAACTAGTGGCTGAGCTGGGGCCAGATCCTAGGTTACCTGGGTCCCAGTCCAGGGCCTGACTTGTGCACCCCGGGAAGGAATCGGTCCGGCTCCTAGTGTGGATTCTGTGGGCTCATCTGTGCTATAACCACTGTACCGGGAGGCTGAGGTACACAGTTGTCCCCCAGTTCTGAGCCGCTGTGTGGTACAGACTGGACCAAACTGTGTCCTTGGGGGTGTTTTTTCCCTCCTCTGCCGTCTCGGACTAGGGTGACCAGATGTCCTGATTTTATAGGGATAGTCCCAATATTCGGGGTTTTGCCTTATATAGGCAGGGCCGGTGCCACCATTAAGGCAAACTAGGCGGTTGCCTAGGGCGCCAAGATTTGGGGGTGCCAAAAAGTGGTGCCCCCAATTTTTTTTTACGGCATTCCTACGCCCCCTCCCCAAGCGCGCAGTCGCCGCTCCACTTCTCCTGCCTCCCAGGCTTGCAGCGCCAATCAGCTGTTTGGCGCTGCAAGCCTGGGAGGGGAGGAGAATTAGAGCGGGGGTGGCGTGCTCGGGGAGGAGGCGGAGCAGAGGTGAGCTGGGGTGGGGAGCTGCCGCTGGGGAGCTGCCTCAGGGTGGGGGTGGGGGGGACGGGGAGCTGCCTCAGAGCAGGGGGGAGGGCAAGGTGGAAGTTTCGCCTAGGGTGCGAAACTTCCTTGCAACAGCCGTGTATATAGGTGCTTATTACCCTTCCCCCACCCCCTTCCTGACTTTTCACACTTGCTGTCTGGTCCCCTGACCTCGGACTGAGCAGATCGAGGCGCACGGTTAGGTCCTGAGGACGCTGTAGGGGAGGATGCGGGGAGGTAGTCCTAGTGCAGACAGTGGGAAACCTTCCTCCATACAATTGCCACTAGCCAGTTTCCCTGACTCTGTCTCCAAGGTCAGGGCAGTCAGCTCTGCGTCCTTGCCGGGGCAGAGCTTAGGAGGAGGAGGAGGGTCTGCCTACGGCTCTTCCAGTAGTGGCTGGGCCTTGGAGGAGCAGGTGGGGCCTGGGGTGAAGGATCACCTGGTAGGTGTTGGGTGTGGGGAGCCCATTATTTGTGGGTCAGTGACACCAGGGCTGCTTGGAGGTGGTGGGAGGCGGGTGTCTAATGACCAGACCGCCCTGCTCCGGTGCTCTCGGATTGCAAAGCAACAGGCTTGTAGATCAAGCTGAAGGACTGTCCCTCCCCACCCCCAACTTCATTCCCCATTCCTTCCTCTCCCCTGTGGTCTTCTTCCCCCACACTCCTCCCTCCCCTCTTGCATTAATTCTGGATTAATGAGGCTCCTGGTTAACTCTTTCCTCCCTGCAGTCACCCACAAGAAGGTAACCCCAACCCAGTCCACACTAATCCTGCTTTCTCTCTCCTTCCCCGCCCTCCCCCCCAGGTTTGCGCAGACACCTGGATGAAGCCGAATTGGCCAAGGACTAGCGGGACCCAGCCCTACCACTGCAGCAGAGCCAGAGGAAGGAAGGAAGGAAGCCGCAGTCCAGCCTGGGGAGTGCCCGTCGAGCTAAGGGGCGTGCCATGTCCAGGACTGCGCTGGCTGCCTGCTGAGCCAGAGGGGCATTGGCCCTGAGGTGTGGCGTTTGCAGAGACTAACGGCCCTGGAGCGGGGGCTTGCAACCAGCTGATTGCTCAGCGGGTCCCATCCCTGGTCCCCAGGGAAACGTTCTGGTGTCATCAGGGTGTCGGCCCCTCGATGCAAAGCAGCCCCTAGTGTAACGCCTTGGGGCCCGCATCCCCCAGTGCAGCGTGTCTGTGCGTTTCCCCCAAGGCATTGCACCGTACTCCCTCGGGGGCATTATAACCCCCCTCCTCCCAGGGTACTGGACACCTCAGATACCTCCCAGTCCAGGGCTTTCTACCCTCTTAGGAACTTGCCGGCCAGCTCCCCTGGGGCACTGCACCCCACAGGGCATTGTCCTCCAGATACCCTTCCCCTCCAGGACATTGCATCCTCAACTCCAGGGCATTGCACCCCAGGTGCATTGCCCGCCAACTCCCCCAGGGAGCTGCCCCCGGCTGGCAGAGCCATGAAGCTGCAGGCGGTGATGGAGAACCTGCAGCGGCAGCAGCGGGCGCGGCTGCAGCAGGAGCTGGAGGCGCGGCAGCAGGAGCAGCAGCGCTCCACGCCTCCCCCGCCAGCACTGCCCCCTCCGCCGCCCTCCGGACAGAACGTTGCCCTCCCTGCTGGGGCCTCGCTGTTGGCCCGTGGCCGCAGCCAGGACCCCGCCCCACCTGAGGAGGGGGTGGAGCTTGAGAGCGCCCGCATCCAGCGGGCCCAGATGGCTGCCCTGGCCGCTATGCGGGCAGCAGCAGCTGGACTTAGCCACTCGCCCAGCCCGGGAATGTCAGATGAGAGCCAGGCCTCAGAGGAGGAAGAAGAGGAAGAGCAGGGGGAGGAGGAGGAGGAAGATGGCGGGTACCAGCAGGAGATGGGCTCGGAGGAAGAGGAGGAGCTGTGAGTATGGATGGATAAATTTGCATAAATTAACACCTTCCGTGGCATAGGCCTTGCCTACTGACTTGAATGAATGCAGCGGCGTATAAATGAATGCAGTTCTATCTCCACCATGGGTTGTAAGCACTGGTTGAACTTGGGACCTTCACTGCTGAAAATACAACCGTTTCTACAAGGGTACATCCCTTAATGTTTAACAGTAGTGGGCTTTTATCTTCTGGCCCAGCCACTGAATGGGGATACTAGAACACTTGGCCGGTATGTTACATTGACGTGTGTGTGTGTGTGTGTGTGTGTGTGTGTAACATCCTAATTAGGTAAAGTAGCTTGGTTTTATGCAAATTAACATAGGAGCGTTCTTAGATTGCACGGCGACTCCTCTTGATTTAAGAAAAGTGCCATAAACTGAAACCGAGTTTGCATGTTTGAAAACCATCGCGCTTCTATTTAACAGAATTTTAGCATACAAGTCTCACGTTAACTAAAATCGCGTGGTGCGCTGAGGGATTCGCACCCATGTCTCCCTTCTGCCGTATAAATACGGGTGCCACGCTTCTCCAGCAGGTGCCGGATGGTTTAGCCTCCACCACAGATCTGATTTTTGGCAGCATGATGCCGTATGGCGACGGGCCAAAGCACTGTGGGTGTGTTCGGTGTGAAGTCATTGTGGGGGCTGAGAAAGGTGTCTGCCCACGTACGGTCAGAATGTTCCAATGCCGTAGCTTTTTGCTGAGTCTCCGATAGCACCTTAACTCTGCAAGAGGCAGGTTCGACCTTTGGTGGCTGGTGGGAAGAACCTGTTCGGGGGCAGCCCTGGTTTCTGCCTGGGAACTGCTTTTTGGGAGAGAATCCCCTGGACTCAGCCTGGGGGAGGCAACTGGGGGTTGGGGAGAGGGGGTGGGATACTTTTTCTGTCTACATCTCTATACCGTGCCTATTGTGGTCGTTCCGGCGCATGCTGGGACACAAATGCCGTACTCAGGTGTAGCTTTCCTTTACAATTGTAGGAATTGCAGGGTAATTTGGTCCTCATCTTCTCTGGCAGCCAGCGCAGGGTCCTTAAAGCAGCCTGGTCTAGTCTTAAATTACCCAGGCAACAGGTTGTTCTGTTGCCTCTGGTGCCAGGCCACCTGTCCCCTGCTGCCCCATATAGGACAGGGCCCTTTGGACAGCCGCAGGAACTGTCTGTCAACAGCTGTCTGCTTTTGGAAGTGCCAGCTCAGTATTTTTCACTTGGATAGCAATAGGGCCCTTTTTCCAGTTCAGTTAAAGGGTCGCTGTCCAATTAAATCCATATTTCTGATGGATAAAATTCCCTGTGTCACTAATATGTTAGATCATTTAAAATTAAATATTAAAAAAAAAGCCATTATTTTGGGTCACTTCTGCTGTTTTTTGGTTTGGCTTGGGCCATGAAAACAGAACGTTGGGCTTGGATTCTGCCTAGATCTCTGCCTAGCTTGTGGAGTTGGGAGTAGAGAGGGAATCGCTGTACTGTAATAAATTGGTTAAATGTGTGTCCACCATTGCCCTCTACAGGATGGAATCGGAACTTTTCAGATGTGTGTGTCACATGCCCTATAGTGCAAACAGCTTATGGAGATTCTCATTTTAGCTCAAGTATGGGTGGGAGGGAGGCTGAGACTTTTTGTGGGAGAGGGATCGAAGTTTGGTCTCTGCTGTCGCGGTGAAGTTACAAGTGGCATAAAGTATGGTAATGATGACGCATCTGGTACAATTATACTGTTGGCTGGGGAGGGGGAATGGGACTGGAAACCTGAAGTGTAAATCTGCCTTCTTTTTTAAAAGTTGAGCTGGTGACACACCTTCCTCTGTGCGAGCCGGTTTGCTTAAGGCAAGTTCACACCCATAGCATGACTAGCCACCTTTCAAGATAAACGGATGCACTGGATTTTATTCCCCCTTTTGTCTTTTCCGCTCTATTTGCAAGTGGCAGGAGCCAAGCGGCAGTGCTGGGGGTTCTCCAGGGGCCTGGCTCAGTGCATGGGCCCACCTTTCCCTTTTAATATCTGTCTAACCTGAAAGAAAAATACACCGTTGCATCCTGGCAGAGTGTTCACCTGGAGCAAACATTTGGCAGAGCGGATCTCGATCTCTCCAGGCAGAGAGGTGGGGCCCATCCACACCTCCTTGGGGATAGGGCTGTATGTTCCCAAAAACTCAGACTCTGCCGGAGTGAAGAGCGACCGTCTCGAATTGCTCTTTGCCCAACAGATACCCGTTGTGCAATGATGAGAAATCAGCCATAGGGCACCTGTAACCTACCAGTTCAAGGTGTGTCTTGTTCTAGTGGCGGGGCCATGTAAGGAGACAAGTGCCTACTACTGCTGCCAGCTAATTGTCACTCTTCTAGATCAGTTAGTGGAGGCTCCAACCTTTAGAGCTGAATGTGTCCGCTTCAGTCCTCATTGCTCAAATAAATTTGTTAGTCTCAAAGGTGCCACAAGGACTTCTACTCCTTACCAAGGGTCAGTGTATAAATGATTGATTAATTATTTATTAAAACAATCTAATAGGTGGCTTATACCCATAGCTGACAGCCACTTATAAACACCTGGTACTGATGTGCTCATGTAAACCACTACTGAGTGCGTTGGAGATCCTCTGCGCCTGATCTGCAGTGGACGAGCCCGTTACCCGGCCAGTTAGGGAATCTTGACTCTTCAGCACATGCTTTTCGCTCTGGAGGTCCCGGCCAGTCTGTGGAACGGCGGCGTTCACACTAACCGCCCCCTATGACACGCGCAACCTGTCTCCTTACAGGCCTGCATCCTCTAATCCGTTGTTATTCCTTTATAAACCATCTCTACGTGGAATCTGTTACTGTAAAGTGTGTCCCATGGGGTCAACTTGCCAGCCACTCCCCTGGAGCATCCCAAGTGAGATTTCAACGCGGCCCACCAAAATAAACACTTCTCTGCACAGAGGAACAGAACCGTGCAGGGCTACTCTAGTGCCAGGCAAACCTTCCCACTTGCGCTTGGGAGAAGGGAAATTCAGCAGGACCTAGAGCTAATAAACCCTTTGTCCTCCCCCGCCCAACCAAAAATGTATATGGGACAGGGTGTGAGCTTAAGGCTTCTCCTTCCCACAGAATGACACTCGAATCTCCTTTTCAGGCAGCCGTGAGGGCCCAGTGATGGCACTTGCTTCCCTGCTTCTCAGGGGCCAGCACCATCTCTTGTTCTGAGCCCCGACTCTCGCCTGGCACCTGGAGAGCTGAGATCCCTATTTCTCCTCTCCCCCGCCCCGCATGCACACGCTCACTCGTCTCCATCCCGATCTGCACTCGGCTGTGACGAGAAACCCGGGTATAGCGAGGTGGGGAGGGTGGGAGCTGAAATGCTGGCAAGGAAGAGCTGGGTTGCTGCCTTTATTGCAGATGGGTTCTCCCCTTTGCCCCTTGAAGGAGCAGGAAGGAACTAAGCTCAGTTTAGGGCTTTCTTCAGGAGGTGCTAATCCTGCCTGCCACTAAAGCCGGGTCTGCACTTAAAAAAAAACTAGGTCACCCCCAGCTACCTCCCTCAGAGGTGTGAAAAATCCACACTCCTGATCACGGAGTCAAGCTGAGCTAAGTTCCTGCATAGGCAGCGCTAGGCTGAGGGAAGTATTCTACTGTCGACTTAGCTGCCACCGCTGGGGGAAGTGGATTAACTACGCAACGGCCGAACCCCTCCCAGCGCTATCACAGAGTGTCTGCACTGAAGGGCTACGGCTGGGCCTCCCCATCCCTATTTCATGCATTCCCGAGGTGTCCCCACCCTGATGTTGGGGTCTGTCGATAACCAGCCCAACTGGTTGGTTGGTTTTTCCTGCTCCAGGAGAGGAGAGCGTCCTTGCCAGCAATCACGTGGGCTCGGATCCAGGGCTGTCGGCACTAAGGGAAAAACTTCTAATCGGTTCTCAAACTGGTTCAGCTAAGCTGGCTGGAGTCCTAGTGGAGGCCTGTTTTTGTTTCTAAGATGGTCTGACCTGTTTGGGGCAGGGGGGGAACCAGGCTGTCTTAGATCACCTCAAACTGGGTCAGTGCCGCAGCTCTGACTGGCTTATCTGAGCCACTTTTGAAACCAGTTAGAAAATGTCTCCAGTAGAAACGGGTCCCTCGGCGATGTGGCAGCAAATTTAAATCCCAAAGCCTTGGGCGCAGGTCCCAGTTGAAGGGTATGCTGCTACTTCCACAGAGGATGGGTCACCGTGATGGGAGAGAGACTGGACTTTGACTCAGTCTGGATGGGTACATTCGGGGGACCAGTGATGATCTGATGTAGCAGAGGAATCTCTGCGGTTACTGTGAATTCACACCACTGTCAATGAGAGCAGAAGCTGGCTTAAGGAGACGGTCTTCCGAGGGTGTATGTAAAATATTGTGACTCTTTCCTTCTCGTAATCAAAACAAAAAGATTTGCAGCTGCACCATAGGACTGCTTTGTGCTAAGGCTGCCCATCTCCCTTTGGCCAGTATGGATGCATGGAGGAAGTGAACTGGGCTGAGGTGGAGAGTGGACAAAACTGCCCCAGTTATTCAGGGAAACTGGAAAATGTTCCATGCATCTATTGCCTAGTGTGTGGAATAGATTATTTCTTGTTTGCAATGCAAACTGCACGGAGTTTGGTACTAATTGTTTGCAATGCAAACAGCACAGAGAGGCCCCAACTGAGATCTGGGCACAACCACCTGGTGAGAGACAGCCCTTGCCCCGAAAAGCTTACAAGAGAGAATGAATAGTTCAAAAGACAACCTGGGAAGATGGCGCAAGGGAAAGGTGGTGCCCGGGCATGGGTAATGCCTGTGTTCCTGTGCACTCAAACAACATGTGACCTATGGTAGTCGTGTTGCTTAATGCTCCAACTTAGGCACCCAACTTCCATTGAAATCCATGGAAGTTAGGAGCCTAAATACCTTTTGGGGGTCTGGGCCTCAGATGCTGCGGCGATGGGCATGGTATAAGAACCTATGTAGAACAGAGCCGGTCTGGATCAGACCAAGGGTCCAGCCTTTACCAGCAGCTAGAGGAGCCCTGCAGTAGGCGATTATGGGATCACTTTCCCCAGGAGAAGTTTCCTGCTGAAGCCTTGGCGTAGGAGGATTTATACGCCCTCCTAAACCCTTTCTCGTATCTTGTGGGAAGGAGTTCCACAGGCTGTGGGGTGGACAGTGTGAAAAAAGCATTTCCTCTACCAGTTCTCAATTTGCCCCCTTTTTGGTTTCATTGAGTGGCCCTCTAATAATCTTGATTGCATTGAATCTGGTGCCTTCTCCACTGGGGGTGGGGGGGATTCTTGGAGTGGAGGTGGGGTACATAAAATCAGGTGGCGTCTGTTTGCGTGTTGATTTTTAGCAAGCTCTCTCCAAATGCTACATCATGAACATTCTCTTCTTTTCTCCCCCCCCCCCTTTTTTTTTTTTTAAACTCTAGGAAGCGCAAATGGGATGAAGATGACTTCGAAGAGGACATGGGGGAGGAGGAGGAGGAAGAGGAAGAAGAGGAGGAGGAAGATTATGAAGAGGATGAAGAAATGGGGGAGGATGAAGGGCTGGGCTCCGCAGAAGCGGTGAGATCTGGGCCGGGATCTCTGCTTCTTCGCAAGCCGCAGGCCCCCCAGCCGTACCGAGGTGAGCCACAGAGGCTGCCGGGGGGCCAGGAGCGTCTGTCGTCTGGATTGAGCCATCAGGGGCACTTGCAGCTACAGCAGCAGGCTCCAGACCATGGAGACTGGACTTACGAGGAGCAGTTCAAGCAAGTAGGTACCCATAAAAGCATATGTCCCTTTAAATGACTTGCTGGCATTGAGTTTATAAGCCGGTTACTTTTAATGCTACATCTCCAGTACTTAATCCCTTGGGGACCTTGAGCCGGGTCAAGGAGTTCTTCCCCATTGATGCACTGGGAAATTGCCAGAATTAAGATGTCAAGAGGTGTGTTGCATGCCTGGCTAAGCTGGGAATGCTGGTGTATTCATGTTTGGAATGGCTGGAGTAGCTTGGAAGGGATTTTGAAGGGTGGCAGGCGGGTCTGACGCTGTGTGTGAATGAACTCTCCAGGATAGAGACTGGGGAGCCCAAACCTCTGTTAGTTTGTGCTTCAGGGGCTTAGATGGATTTTATAGTTTGGAAATTTTGCCTCTCCTTGCAGGGAGGCGCTCTTTCGACTGGTTCCTGGTTTTGTCCTTGTAGTTCACATGCTGCCAACCTCCGGTTAAGATCTTGGCCCTGAGCCACCGGGAACAGTTTGGTACCACTTCAGAGGAAGGTGGCCAAGTCAAAGAACCAGGGAACTCGGATATCTTGGTCAGTCATTCACACCAGTGCTAATGCAGGTGTTTTGCGTTGGTGTGAATGCCTCCATTGTGTGCAGTCTAAATGGAGTATCTGGGTGCATGTGTCTTCAAACCAAACGTTTTTTACTTGTGTCAATAATGCTTCCGATTTTTTTCTGGCTTTAATAATCTGATTTTATTTATTTATTTTAAAACTCTGCTCTTCATGCGTCCGTCTCCTTGGCTGGGGTGTGTGTCTCTCGAGGGGGATATTCTGGTCGGGTTCTCATGCACTAGCACAACTCTGCAATGTTTGGCTTGCAAATGCTGTAGGGAATCCACGTAGACATCTACACGGCACTCCAAACTCGCCGTTGGGATTCCCTTGTGTTGGCTTTAGGTTTTTTTGAAAAGCTAGCCCGTGTGGTGCGCCCCGTCCCGGGAACCGTTGGTTTCTGAGGCAGATCTGACCTCCTGGCGTCTTTCTGCAAAGATCTGTGGAGGCAGAGGCACTGGCTATTTGAATCGTGGTCCTTTCAGCCCTGATTAAGTATGTGATTTAAACATGGGCCTAACTCTAAGGGCAGGTCCATGCAAGTCCCATATAGCAGATTGGAGATCATAAACTAGCTTTCTCCTGGGTTTCACTCAGCCCCTGCCTTTCCTTCCCTTCTGGGTCCCCTGCCTCCTTGTTTGCCAAGCCTCGCTCTGGGGAAGCAAAGATTCTCTCTCCTCTCATTCATTTTCCCCCCCCCTCCTTCCCCCTTGATGATTGGCCAGAGCTGGGTATTGAATCCGTAAGCCTTTGGCTAATAGAAGGAAATGTGCTTAAAGCAGGGCTCCCCAGACACTCAGAGGCTCCTTTGATGTATGTGTTTAAGTACCATCTGAGTTTAGGGCTGGGGGGAGGGGATGCTACACAGACAGTAGCAGCAGATGGAATCCAGATGGAGTGGGGTGCGGGGAGCAAAAGGAGGCTTGTGCTGCTTTTGGGGTGATTAGTGGCTGTGACCTTTTATTTTGGGGTCCCTGGCCACGGGAAGAGAAACCGCTCCAGGGGAACAGCTGGCAAGGGCGCCCAGGGTCTGAGATCGCTGCAGGGCACTGCGAGTGGGCGCGCTTGGGTCAGCCAGAGAAAGTGTTTGCTAGAAGGATCAGGAGCCCTGGTGTCTCCGTTTCCGTAACGGTACAATGCCGCTTTCCGACTTAAAAAAATAACAGGGCTGCCGATTGGTCCTGTGTGTCTGTTCGTTTTAGCTATTGTATAGCGTTTTCATCCTCCCGTAGCTTAACATTTTTGGTGCAACTAACCCTTTTTTCCAGGCTCTGATCAATTTTAAATAGTTAGAGCCTAAGAAACTACCTTGAGACTGGCTTAAATGGAGTCTTCCTTTCTTTCCACTTCCTCTGACCTAGATGGTCTCTTACTGTGTCCCAGTAACATCTAGAGGCCCCAGCTGAGGTCTGGGTCCCCCTGTGCAAGGTGCTGTACATGCACATAAGACATTTTTTGGCCCCAATGAGTCTGCAGATTAAAAAGAGAAAATGGTCAGAGTGGGGAGGGGAAACTCCTGAGGCACAGAGAGAGGGAAGTGACTTGTCATAGGGGTCACACAACAGGTCAGGGACAGTGCTGGGGTTTAAAAACCGTCTATTGTTGGAGTCTCTCGCACTCTATCTGCTAGCCCACACTGCCTCCTTGCAGTGTTACTATGAGCATGGTTATAGTCGGTCTACGCGCTCCCTTTCCAAAACGTTGCTGATGTTTTCATATCTCTAACGTACATGTGGTTTTTTGTTTTTGTTTTTTAATATATTAATTCTTCTTGTGTTGTCTTCTTGAGCTCTTATTTACATCTTCCTCCGGCTGATATGTATCTTCTTAATGTGGCTTCTTTTGTACTTCCTGTAAATAGAGAGTGGGGGGAGCGGAATCTTTTTATCTGTGGAAAAAGCTTTTAAATACAGCAGCTGTGATCTTCCTGTTTTGTCACCCGGTTACTGCCAAAACCCTGCGCTCTGTGGGTTCTTGGGAGAGCAAGATCACACAGTCTGGTGCGCCTCTCACAGCTTTAAGAAAAGGATTCAGTTTTGGAAGCTAATGTTAAACTGAAAGTGACGAACCTGGCAGCTTGTTACCTGGGGTGTTTGTTTGATGGTGTTTTGCTAATAGGTTGAAAGTTTGTGGTTCTTAATTTTAACGCTATGCTGGGCCAGAAAATCTGTGTGACTCCGTTTAGGTCAACGGAGCTTGCCAATGCTTGTGGCTTTTTGTAACCCAAGTCTTGTAATATTTGGCGTTTCTCTTCGAGGTGCAGCTCCTGGAGTCATGTGATTAGAGTGAGACTCCGTTTTTCGTTTTACAGTAAAGTATGTTTCTAGCCTTTGTGGTTGCAGACGAAAGCTGGAAGACGTGACTCTGAGAGACTCACAAATAGAAGACGAATAAAAAAACCTCTTACCTCGGGCTGTGTTGGTGCTTTTTGTTTTTTTTTGTTTTTTTTTCTTTTGGGGGAGCGGGGAGCTGACTCAGTTGGGGGCAATGCCGCCATTGTTGTAGCAATGTCCAGCTCGACCAGTGGTGGCAGGCGTGGGAACGCTAGTGTAGACAGGCTGCCGCCACTTTAGCACCGTGTTGCGTAACCCTGCTTAGAGCATGTCAAGGTAGCACCATGACTTTAAAATGCCAGAGAGCATTCCAAATTAAAACTGCTCCCCCGGGTGCCGCTCCAGTGCTGGGCCTTAAGGGGCATGAGCTGGTGCAGATGCCACCTAACTGTGCTTGAGAACAGGGCTGCTGGCCATGCCAGGGCACTGGTCTGGCCAGCAGTGGCAAAACCAGATCCAGGGAGCAGAGGTTAGGATATTTCAAGAGCCCCCAAGGGACTTAAGGCATCCCTTGGGCTCATTTGCCCATCCCAGCCAGAAGCTCTCTGCTGCAGCCCCTGCTTTCCTGTCTGGGCCGGGCACGGCGAGCTCTGTCCTTCAAAGCACTAATTCCGGGAGCTCCCCAGCATCCCTGTTCTGAAGCTTTCGGCCCTGGCGTGCCCGCGCTGTGGGCGGAGGAGAGCACTGCAGACCCGCCTGGTTTGGGGAAAGCCCTTTTTCCCCCCGCAGCTGAGCATGTCAGAAAGCAAACGTGTCGGCCTCTGGACCTCCGCCAGAGGTTTCTCAGCGAAGCCTTTGGCCGGGAGCTCCGCTTGGCCTCCCTCCAGCGCAGGCTTTTGACTGGGCTCCAGCCCCAGCTGATGGGGAGCAGCGCTGCTCGCTGGGAAGGAGCAGAAGGAATGTAAACAATGATTGTTAGCAGGATGTGTGGTGCAGTTTCTGCCGCGCTACTGGAGGTGCTGTCCCCGGAGGAGTTATTGACAGCGAGTACTTTATGACTTCCTTCGCCCCTGCTCTCCAGTTCTCCACACCAGCTTGAGGTTGTTTATTTTTCCCCCTTGAGATTTAAGATACATTTAAAAAAAAATAAAAAACCCTGTAACTTAAATCCTTTTTTTTTTTGACAATTCCTTCATGGTCGGGAGACCTACCAGCATCACAGAGGCTAATGAATCACTGCAGCACCTAGGAGCCCTGGGCGTGGACCAGGCCCCCAGTGCGCTAGGTGCTGTACAGACAACTAAAAGCTGGTCCCTGCCCCATAGAGACCGAAGCCTCAAACGTCTGAGAGGTTGCTGTCCCTCCCCCAGCAGGATTGGAGGTTCACGGTCTGATACCCACTTTTCATAGGCGCCGCTCCCGAGCTCAGCGGTGGGGTAGCCGGTGCTGCAGCACTTCCTAAAACCGGGTCAGCCGTGACTTGAACTGAGTCCTTGCCAGAGCTGGGGATGCAGCCCCCAGCCTCCTGGCTTGAGGTTGCTGTGAGCGCATCCCTCCCCGTTACGCTCCTCAAGCCCTGCATGCTTCTGTGCGCAGTCCAAATACCAGGAATAATCCGGGCTGCTTATCACTCCAGACTTACTTCAGCTGGGTGCCAGTAACTCTAGCCAAGGACAAAAGCAAATTCTTATCTTCCCCCTTGTGCAGTTACTTGATTCTCTTAGTGCCTGTCTGATTCCGTCCCCCCCTGCCCCCCCACACCCCGCCTTGTTTTCCTGTGTGCGGTTGGGGGGAGGCAGAGGATAGTACACCTTGGCTGGTGTCCTGGATAGCACTTACGCATTAGCTCAAGAGGGCATTTGGCAGCATCTCCATGGCGCAGTCTGCCCGGTAACTCTGAGTGGGTAGCATTTGAGTAGCGCAGGCTAGTCTTCCTGCTTTGTAGGGATCCGGCTGACTCTCGAGGGATGCTTATGGGTGGGGTGGGCGGGGTTTCCCCCGGACCTAGTAACAGAGAGAACTGGAGTGTGGGTTGCACAGGGCCACGGTCAAACGACTGGGGAGGACGAGCTGTGGTCGCTGGAAGCCCAGGATAGTTCATGGTATAACATCAGCTGTCTGGTGCTGCTACAGCACAAGGCTTGCCTGACCTCCGG